GTGTGCATGGGGAGGGGTGAGTGTGTGCGCTCAACAGACTGTGTCTGAGTGTGTGCATGTGTATGGGGAGCAGGCGGATTACAAGGAACGTGTCCTGTAATTCTGGGAGCTGCAAGTGCAAAATCTGCAAAGCCAGTGCCCTGAATCTACACAGAAACTTGCCAGGAAACCAGAAAGAGTCTCCGTCCCAGTTCAAAGGACTTTGAGAGAACCCTTCCTATGTAGGAAAAGGCTCAGACTGTTGGGCTCCTTCCAGCCCAACAGTGTAACCTGGAAACCTCTACCACCCTCCAGACCAGAGATAGCAGCAGCAACTAAGGCCAAGTACCACCCCTGCCTGCCCCCAGGGCTGGTTAAACCTTGTGGCAGTAAATCTCTCCGCATCTTCTGGCCTACATCTCCTGGAGCTCTCTAACTGTAAGATTACCAGAGGCAGAGGTAGGAGAGCAGGTAGTCAGAGAGAGGCTCAATGGTAGACAAATCCATTTTCCTTTACCAATTTCTGTTTCCTGAATTCTTTCAAAACCTACCAAGCAGACGGTAGGTTATGACTTCGGTGTCCTGCAGCAGTCAGGCCTTCAGAGGATGGGATGAGGCTGGAGAGATGGCTCACCAGGCTGGCCTGAACGTCCCAGAGATCCACTTGCCGCTGCTTCCTAAGTGCTGGGATTTAAAGGAGTGCCCTACCACCCCGGGTTTATGTATGATTTTTTGAAAAAGATTGAATGAGGCCCACTTATATTAATGAGGACAGTCTGCTTGTCTCAGCCTACTAATTTAAGTGTAAACACGCTCTCACAGAGACACCCGAATGACACCCCGAATCCCATTCAAGCTGACTCATAACGTGTAAAAGTCCACAACCACTTGTCGACAGTCCTCTTCCCTCTGCTTTCACACTCCTGTGGCCTCCTACAGCCGGCCTCACTCTTCCACCCTCAGCTCAGGTCCTCCGGGAGGAGGTGCTCACACAGAGTACCGACCCAGAAGCCACGCTCAGGAGAAAGTCTGTGAGCTATTTCACTCTAGCCCTGACTTCCGGCTCGGGCTCTCACCTGGATTAAAGGGAGTCATCCACCTGTGTGCAAGGACGGCCCGGCCAGCCATTCTCCAAGGGTGGTTACGGTGTGTTATCAACCCTTCAACCAAAACCTTTCCGAAGCTGCGCCCCAGCGGACACTGTCCAGATGGTCCAAATCTTCTGCCATTTTCAGGAATCAAATGATGTGGCTGTGTAGTTTGCTCTTATCCTCACATGATGCAGTACAAATGTTGGCATAATATTCTTTTGGAATGTATACACCTTACCCTTGTTCATTCAAATGCTGATTTCTCCCCCACTCTCTCTTTTCAATCCAGATATTGCATTGTGATGCTTATTCTAAGCATCACCTGTCTCAACTTTGTGTAAACATACAAAATAAAACAACCAGCCACAATGGTGAGCAATAGAGAGGAAGGAGTAGGCAGGAGAGGGGAGGAGCCAGAGGACAGGAAGTGGTGGGAGGCTGAGGAGGAGAGAAGAGGGAGCTGGGAGAGCAGAGCTGGAGTACAGATCTTGGAACGACATGGAGAATGAACCAGACCTAAGATTTCACAAAAAGCAAGTATAATGGGTAAAATCTAAAAGTTTGGAAACTATGAGGGCTTGGAGGTTTAGAAGGGAACAACTATTGGCCAGCATTGTGTTCTAGGTTAACTAAATAAACCCAGTCTCTGTGTGGTGATTTGGTTATACAGCTGTTTGGGATTAACAGCAGCTTTACCAGAAGATAGATCAATAGTAAATATTAATCGTAACAAACAAGTGCATTGGCTGCTCTTCCAGAGGACCTGTGTTCAATTCCCAGCACCTACATAGCAGCTCACAACTGTCTATAACGCCTGTTCTAGGGGATCCAACACCTTCATACAAACATCCATGCAGGTAAAACAATACACATAAAATTTAAAAGAGAGAGGTATTCTAGGCTCTGCAACTATTCCGAACAGGTCAACAAACACCAGTCCACAGACAAAATGGACAAAGAAGAGGATAAGAAACATTAAGAGTGTTTCCACTCATGGCCTGAGCTCTGCCCTGATCGACCAGCAAGTCCATCACACAAAAGGTCCCTCCGTCATGCCCTCTCCAGCACAGAGGTGGAGGACATGACCATCTCCCCCAGCTGCTGGCCCCTCAGTGCTTCTCATTCTCCCTGCTCTCCCTCCCCTCCGCTCTCAAGCACACCGCCAGTGTGAGAAACAGCAGTTTGATTGTGTTCAGAGCCATTCCATGAGCAGTGACCCTGTCAACTCCCCGTGACCTGAGAATTCAAGGAATGCAGCCCAGACTACATTCTCTGCTCAGATCCTCGTGACCCTGGCACCCACTTCAAAGTACCTTTCTCCATAGACTGTTATTAAGTCTGCTTCCCCAGCTTGTACTGTCTAATACAGAGTGCCAGTTGGCCACATAAACTTTGGGGTGCCTGTTATTTAAGTTTCATCTGTATGCAATGAAAGCACTGAGGCAATCACATTCCAGGACAAAGACAGCTGCTCTGATCTGTCCTCAGCAAAGCTCATCCATGCAACATCCTTCCCAGCAGCTGAGCGTGCAGGCTCAGGGACTGCCAAAAGGACCAGCACCTTACCAGTCCAGAACTTTCTGCAAAGCTGATGTCATATTTGATCACCCTTCGCAGAGGCTAATTAGGACCTGGCAATCATGACAGCGTTTCACATGTCACCTCATTAAACGCAGTATCAGAGGAGGTACTGTCAGCTCCATGTCATAGATAAGGAAACCAAGGCTGAAGAAGCTATAATTTGTCAGTGCCACACACCTGTGCACAGTCAGGCAGGGAACTAACCGTAAGTCTATCTGATTCTGAACCTCACGCTCTTACTTGCCTCCTTGACATCTGCTAAATGTGCACACCTAGAATCCTGACTAAGGCTGGGGGTAAACCAGTCTTAAGAGCACCTGCCTAGTACGGACAAGTCCCCAAAACTAAAACAACAACAACAAAAGTGCTGACCAGATCATGACTAAGGCCTCCATCCATAAAGATCTCTCCTGAGCTTAGCAAGAGCAGGCTCAGCCACTGATACCCATACTTAAGTGGACTGTTATTCACAGCTTAGCCACAACCCTTGCTCCACGCCTTTCAGAAATACAAGGGCATGACAGCAGCCTCTCACACAGAGATGGGGGAAAATTTCAGACTAATGTGAAGTCTACAAGGAAAAAAGAAAAAAAACTTACAGAGTGGTAGGGTGACTGAAGACACAAGCCTCGAAACCTGCATCCACAGGGGGGCAGGAGAGAGCCAGGTCCCCAAAGCTGTCCTCTGACCTCCACGTGTGACACCACACACACACACATTTACAGAACTGAATGAGCCTGGTGGCATATCCCTGTAATCCCAGCACTCAGGAGGCAGAAGCAGGAAGCTTGGGAGTTTAAGGTCTACTCTGGGCTACACAGCAAGCTCCAGGTCAGACTGGGCTATCCAAGATCCCATCTGAAACACAAGACAAAACCAACTCACAAAACTGAAAGAAGAATGTGATCTATTAAAAGGGAAAGGGTGGGAGGGCACAAGGGGAACTTCCTGGGTGCCAAGTGGTATGGCTGGCACAGGGGCTAAGAAGAAAGCTCACGTGAGCTCACTGCCCTTTTCAATAACCTGTGTCCTAATACGGGGTGCCTAAAAATAACTGGGAAGAGAGTCATACATTTAAAAAAATGATGGAACTGCAGAAAATAACTCGAAATTATGTCCGATTGAGCACTGATAAAAGCTAAATTGAGCTTGCACCAGCCATTTTTTTAAAATATGCAATTAATCTTCATGATGGAGGAAGTTGGAAAATAGGAATGGCTTGCTCCCTGCCCCCGCCCACCCCCAGGGCTCCATCTGGTATATTTTATGTTCTTAAAGCAATCCTGCCTCCCCTAGTCCCTCTCCCGCACAGCCAAGGTCAGCCAGGCTTTCATTCCCACTGACACCCTTCAGTCCCAGAGTTGTGCCCATTCCTATGGGAGGGGGCGATGATGGAGATGAATCCTGGGGCTTGACCAAGCCAGGCAACCTTTTTACCACCGAGCTGTTCCCAGCTCCTAGACTCCTAATCAGTCTCTTTCTTCCTAGCCAATTCCCATGTGCCACCCAAGATATTTGGTCCCTACTACCTTATCCCCAGAAGACAGGTATGTAATTGTAAGGACTTCAAATGAGTCCCAAGAGCCATCACAGGGATGGAGAGAGAAAACCGGATCCAGGCAGACCTTGGAAAATTATTCGCTAATAAAAAGAATAAAGTGTTTGCAGATGCTACCACGTGCGAACCTTGAAGGCGGCATGCAAGATGCAGGAAACCGCTATCAGGGGGCTCCGTAACGTATGATTGATTCCATTTCTGTGAAATGTTCGGAACTGGCAAAATCTATGGAAAGCAGGTTGCCTGAGTGCACAGAAAACAGAAACAGACTGGAGAGGGGTGTTACCGCTAACGGAGCTGTTTTTCTTTGAAGGTCCAGAAAATGTTCTAAAATTGGCAGTGGTGGTAGATGCCCAGCTGCACGCCTTCTAAAAGTGTGCAGTTTAGTGCTGGCCGGTTATCCCAGTACACGTGGGAGGCCGAGGCAGGAGGATTACAAGTTCAAGGTCAGAGAGGGCTACATGTTGCAGAGATCAAAATGGTTCCAGTTATTCCTGGTAAAAATCGACTGAGAGCAGAGGGGGCACGTCTCTTTGGAAACCACAGAAGCGAGGCTTCCCCGGCCGAGCGCAGAGCCCCGGCTCCCCGCAATCTAGGGCCCGTATCCCGGCCTCCCACGCTCCTCCGCGGCGCCGGGACTACGGCTGCGACAGGTGCCACCGGCTCTCAGTGGAAGCCGGAGCACCCGCAGATCGCCCCCAGGGCTTCCGCAGATCCCCGGCCCTGCAGGGAGCCTCGGCAATCCCCAGCCCGCCCCCGCCGCCCCGAGGGGCCCTCGCAACGCGGCTCACCCGCCTTCCCGGCGGACGCCAACTCGAGAACCCGCAGGCGACGAGCGCGCCTGCGCGGCGGAAGCCCGCGCAGCCCCGCCCCCGCCGGGGCCCGGAGCGCCCTCTGCCGGCCGCCGGCGGGACTCGGGGTCCTACCGCGTGCGGGCTTCCCGATCCGACCCCACCCAGTCGGCTGGACCTACAGTCTTCTCTCCCTGGCGTTTCTACCGAGGTTGCAAGCTCCGAAGGCAAGCTCTCCCTCGTTTTTCCAAGAGCGGACTGTGCTGGAATATTAGGGGTGCTCAAGATCTGTGCAACGTCTACTTGGAGGACGTGTCCCAAACCTCCCCTGTCGGTGACAGGCATTATGTTTGGAAGGGAGTCTTCATTTTGAGTCGCTTCGTCAAACCACAGTCCCACAACACCTGTCAGAAGAATACATGTGACAGTAATAGGCGTGCTTCCTTTCAGACTCGGCTATAATTATAATTGAGGGAAAGAATACAGAGTCTTAAACTCGCGGCTCCTGCCAGGATCATCCCTTTGAAAATGAAATAATGCTGTTTCATTAAACGGGCTCTCCCCGCTCGCGCGTGTTTAAAGTCAGAATGCTCCCCTGAATTGATTTAAATACAAGTTTTATATCCTGAAAGAAATAAAGATGAGTCTTTATCGGGAGACAAACGCCTTGTTCAATGAAGCTGCAAGCTTCTCTGGGCCTCTGTCTGGAAGGCAGCGAGGGTGCCGGTGGAGAGCGTTGCTTCCCTTCATCTCTCTTCACTGGGGCTTTTTAAATCTCTCTGTAACGAAAAGCCCGACTTCCTTACACACACTCCTTGTGTGGTCTTTAACAAGACAATTTCGTGTAATATTTCCCTTTTTTTTTTTTTTCATTTTTAAGAGAAAATTACTATCTAGCAGCCCTCAGAAATTTGTTTTTCTTCCTCTTAGGAAGCAGGGGCTATTTCTTAACAGAACTTTTTCCTTTCCCTGTTTCTGTCAACTCTAGCATCCTGCTGTGTCTCCCCGCACCCCTCCCCCTTCCTCCTCGTTCCCTAACACACGACACTGTCTCCAAACCAGTGTGGGAGGATTCCTCCCTTGGAATACCCAGATAATTACCTTCATGTATTTTCAATATGTAGACTTGGGCCAAATATATCTGCAAGATCCAATCGCACCCTCATAAATCAACCCTCTTATTTACCCATGCACAATCAGGCCACATCATTAGTACAGAGCCAATCAATAAATCATTATGTTTTTAGAGCCCTCACTAGGAGCAATCTTCCACGGGACACCAATCCACTCTTGAATTCAACGTTAAGATCCCTTCATATTTTTAAGAAATTTCACAGTCTGTTCTCTCATGCCCGATCCTTTGTTCCTAGATCTCTGTGTTCCTGCTTCAGAAGCTTCTGTCTAATACCTAGATCATAAAATATTCAAGAAGCAAGCTGTTAGCTTTACCTCCAAAAGGCTCCACCTTAGTGCCTCTTGTGTTACTTCTGTCTTTATAGAGATGCAACATTTATCTTTCTCGAAAATTCTCTGTCGACATCCAGGCAGCACAAAAGAAGAACAGAAAAGAAAAAGAAAGTCACCTGAAGGGGAGATGTGGACAACAACTCCTTTTCTTTGAACAAGTCACAATGGGAACTTGGATTTAAGAATAATTCAATAGTGATTCTTTTTAGTAATTTATTTGTTTTTATCTTATGTGCATTGGCATTTTGCCTGCATGTATATCTCTGTGAAGGTGTCAGATCTTGGAGTTACAGATAGTTGTGAATGCTATGTGTAGGTGCCGGGAATTGAACCTGGGTCTTCTAGAAGAGCAGTGCTCTTAACTGCTAAGCTGTCTCTCCAGCCCCAATAGTGATTCTTTTTAACCTGACAGAAACTTTAGATTTCTTTTTATTTCATTAGTAAAACTGAAAAATTCTTACCGGTCCAAACATTCACTACAATGACACTAGGCCCACAATCTAATGAAAACCCAACCATTCTTACTATGTCAATTTCTTCTACATTGAAATTTCAACAGCTGGGCACTCTCCTGTCAGGCTGCATGATATTTACAGGTAAATGGAATTTTAAAGACCTTTTGCTTAAGAAATTCATCATTCTAAAGTTGGCTGTACAGGATATTCCTTTGCCCTAGGGAATTTATCAACTCCTCTATGAAATACGTTGCCATGCTCTCTTAGTTTCTGAAATCCTGTCACTTAGCCTGACAGTGGCACGCTTGTAACAATTCTGTAGAGAAAGAGGCAGGAAGTTCTAACGTTCTCCGTGTAAATTGACCTCCAGATTGTGGAAATTACATTCATTTGCTTATTACTATGTGTATGTGCTATGGCTTGTGGGTATGTGTGTGTGAGAGAGAGAGAGAGCACCAGGCCTGAGGGAGTCAGTTCTCTTCCACCACGTGGGTCCAGGAAATCAAACTCAGGTCGTCAGGCTTGACAGCAAGTGCTTTTACTGAGCCAGCTCCTAGCCCCATTTCCAGATTTCAAAGAAAAGTGATACATTTGCATGCTTTGATGAAATCGGGTTATTGTCTCAAAGGTTGACCATGTAAATAATTCAAATTAATTCATAAATATACAATGGGTTTAATAAGCATGATAAATACTTTGAAGAAGATGCTTAGGCCCTTAGGATCGGCCCTTGCTCTCAGTCTGCCTCAGCTCAAATTTCTCTGAGCACACAGGATGAGCGCTACCTTGGTGTTCTCTTTTATTCAAAATATGCAAAGTTGCTATTTACCAGTTTGCAGTTTGCATGACTCAAATTCTGCCAGAACACAGGGTGAGGGGCACAGATGACAGGTGAATGTGCCAAAAGAGATCACCAAGGCAAAGATGGAAAAGCCCAGCATACTGCTCTTTGCCACCCTGGGGTGCTATAAAACATAGCCCTGACTCCCTACGAGAGAGGCTTGTTAGTCAGACAATGAAAATGCCGGGTGCGAAAGGTTATGTGAGATCTCAGCCATCCTGTGTCTTTTCTTCTGTAATTGCTGGGTGAAAAAAGGGGATGGACAGGGATCCAAGACTGTTATAAAAGGGAACACAAGAGGGGAAAGGCAAGCCATGACTACTCACTGCACACGCTCTGCAGGAGGGAGCCTAGTCCTCCAGGACTTTGGCCTTGTGTTCCTTCCTGCAGCACCATACATCTAACCTGCCTGGCTGATGTGTCATTCCACACGTCTAGTGTGTTCTGTAGTAATTTATTGACGGTGGCGGCATGGCAAGCCACATGGGAAGCAGGCATATGTCACCTCTGGACTTGAGTCTCCACTTTTTTTTGTGTGTGTCTATTGAAAATTCGACTTGGGCTGGGTGTGGCGGTGCACACCTTTAATCCCAGCACTCGGGGCAGAGGCAGGTGGATCTCTAAGTTTGAGGACAGGCCAAGGCTACACAGAGAAACCCTGAGCTGACAAACCAAACCAACCAACCAAAAAAAAAAAAAAATATGTCTCATGATTTAAGACTGTAAATAGCATTTATACCAATATCCAAACTTTTTTGTGTAAATTACCTTTTTTTTTTTTAAATAAAAAGAGTTAAGCATAGCCAGGCTTGGTGATTTATGACCGTAATGCTAGCACTAGGGGGCACTGAAACAGGCTCATGATTTTGAGACAAGCCTGGACAACACAGCAAGACTCCAATGAAACAACTACTGAAGAAGAGGAGGAAGAAGAGGAGGGGGAGAGGAAGAAGAGGGGGAGAGAAAGAAGAGAAGGGAGAAGGGGGAGAGAAAGAGAAGAAAGCAAATGCTTGCTGAGAGCACATATATAGCAATATTACCAAAGGAGGGGATGTACTATGTACTTGTGAGCGGTGTGTGTGTGTGTGTGTGTGTGTGTGTGTGTGTGTGTGTTTCTTTTCATTTTTTAAATATCGATCCTGTTTATTGCAAGATCCACTTTTAAATGACCTGGTTCAAACTGTAATTCTGTTTCCATTGATGATATACACAGAATCTTAAGTCACCACAGATTGCCAGCAGAGGCAGGTGGGGGACCCTGATTTCAAGGCCAGCCTGATCTACAGAGTTCCAGGACAGGGCTATCGAATTCAATTCCCGAAGAGATGGCTCAACAGTTAAGAGCACTTGACTGCTCTTCCAAAGGACTGAGGTTCAATTCCCAGCACACGCATGGCCGCTCACAACTGCCTGCAACTCCAGTTTCAGTGAATCCGACACCCTCTCATAGACATACATGCAGGCAAAACACCAATGTACATGAAAAAGTAAGTTAATTATTAAAGAAGGAAAAAAAAATCACTGAAATGGAGGAAATAATTCTTAAATAGAGTTAGTTGGAGAAAAAAGAGAGAGAAACAGGAAGGAGGAGAGTGAAAAGAGACAGGAGGAGGAAAGGAGGGAAGGAGAGAATGAGGGAAAGGAAGAGGGGTTAACCTTGTCAACAGGGTCCCTAAGAGAAAGGCTGGTAAAGTTGAGTGAAGCCCCCAAGGGAAAAGGGAGAGGCGGACATTAGTGAGGGAAACCATTCTTTGGTATAGACAGGAAATAGGGCGTTCCGGTCAATCAAGTATGTGGTTAATAGTTAACTACGCACTTTGGCAAACGCATACTGATGCCCTTCCCAGGCAAACCATCACTGGGGCCCCAAGTCATCATAGAGACAACTGTACCCCTTTTGTGTGGGCTCTCTCCTGCCTCCCCCTCCCTGCCCAACCTCTCTCCCTCCATCTCATTGTTTGAGAGAGGTCACATCTTGCCTTCATCTTATGGTAGACGTCCTCCTGGCTCCTCGGAGTTCTCTGGACAGGAAGGTCCAACTCCTGACTGCATCTTACAAGGCCTGGTAGGGTTTGGATTCTAAAGTTTCACTTCCTGTTCCCAATACTTTGCCACGGCCTTATGGTACTTTCAAACCTACCCTGTCCCTTCTGCCAGTCTCTTTTAGATCCCAACTCACAAATATACCCTCCTCACTTCCCTGACACCCACACTCTCACACTGGAGCAGAGACCGGCTCCCAGACAGTAAGCAGCCTGGCCTGATTCCACGGCAAGCATCAGCGTTTACAGCGATGCATGGGTCAGTTTGGAATCCCCCAGTAGACACTAAAGCAAGGATTTGAGAGCACATAGTTTATCTAGACAGGGATCTAGAAAACATCCAATAAAGGAGTGGGGACTGAGGCAAACGGTCCATACAGAGAGCCCTGACAGGCAGGCTGGCACCTTGACAGACTTCCCTGGGAGCCAAGGTAGTTAG